CTATATCCAGGATAAAACCGTACCTCAAACTGCCACATGAGGGCAGTGGTACTAAAGTAAAATGACCTCCTTTCCAACCAGCAACATTTTATGTGATGAGGTTAATTTTTATATTTTAAAAAATCTGTTTATTGAAGACAACTATTTCACCGATAACCATAAAAATTATACACGGCATTTAATTTTTTTTTTGTATTAATGTCAGTTCCCGTTTACCCCGTTACTCTACCTGTCTTGATAGTTCCCTGCCCCTAGGTGTCTCCCTGTTCCTAAGTTGTCCTGCTGAGCCTTCGCCACAGTGGGCATTAGCAGGCTTCCTACGGAGCAGGGTTTCTCAGTGGGTTCCTTTATGTCTTTGTCATCTGCCGGCTTTCATGGAGCCATTGGTTCAGTGTTTCTTGGTGGTCTCTTCATTGTTCTAATACATTCTATAGAATTCCTTCTTTTGACAGAGCTTTTTGCTCCATAGCTGCTATTAACAAAAAGGGAAGGACAAAAGATTTAAATATACTTAATAAAAAAAAGGGGTACTTTTGTGTTTAGAGTTTAAAAAGTGCATTTACAAAACGGTTGTCTGTGAACGAGCAGTGAAAGTCTGTACTTCTTTTTGATCCCGGTCATTGGTTTCTGAACTGGAGATTGACGATATGGAAAAACATTTGTCCTCTTTTGTTTTAGAAGACTTCAGAAAATGTATCAAAATGTCAGCAACAAAAGAAAAACTAAGAAGTAAGCTTGATACTTTCTTCTTCTTTTTTTTACTTGTGTCCTTCCCTCCGACACATTTGCACAAACACCATTTTTGGGGCCTCTTGAAAAGGAGAACTTGGATAGCCTGGGAGAACGGTTAGAAAACACCTGCAACAGATTAGTGCTCCTAAAGCTAGGTAATAAATCCTCTCACCCTTCTGTGGTATCTCTTATCTAACAAAATTGTTAAATGATCAAATGCAAACCCCTGTCTTTCCTTAGCACAAATACATTTTATCCAATGAAGTATGAAGTAATATTTTATATATTATATCAATGTAGCATTTTATGCTAAATACATTTTTGGGAACAATATTATTATCATTTTTGTAGTCTTTTTGAACACATGCTGCGTAGTATGAAGATTGTCATGAAATACTTATTCCATTATTACTTTTTTATGACTAGAGCTGATGCTATGCTAAAACACAACCTAAATATGCAGCGACTTTGGACCTTTTAGATAGTGATGTCGCAGAAGATACTTTACGGTTAGCAGCACTGAGTTTGTGCTCACTGTGAGACTGCTGCATGTGTGAACACATTTACATTTTACCACCACTGTAACGAGAGGTGCGGCCGTTTTTTTTTATTTTTTATTTTATTCAAAAAAAAGGCCAGAGGCCTCCAGGTCCTGTAGCTCTGCTAGACACCTGACGGGTTTTTGTTTTCCCTTGTTCTAATTTGCCAATGTCTTTATCCAAGACCTTTCCATTATCCTTAAGCAGCTGTGACAGTCTCTGCTGAGAGCTCGACTAGAGGCTTTTGAGGCTTTGTGAATTGTTGAGAGCTCCGTGCCAATCAAGCTGAAATTATTTTCTCAGCCATTTACACCTAAAAAAGCGAGCGGCTCTTCAGCTTCAAGTACATGAAGCTCCAACCTTCACATCCACCTTCCACTTACAAGGAGAAGCGTTCTCACCAGTGTATACATTCAACATCACTAAAGGCTTTTCTAATCGTAGATTGAAAAACTCCAGCTTCAGAGCTTTGAAACACACTCCTCGCCTGTTATCTACGTGATTTTCAGTAGAAAACTTTTTGTTAGCTTTTCTTTCTTTTTTTTTTTCTTTTTTTTTGGTCTGTTTCTATGTGAAATTTGCTGCAGGTCTTTTTCTTCAACCAAAACTGACTTGCATCATGAGAGTAATTCCCACATCTGCAACATTTCTGCCTCTTTGCAGCAGTAATGGACATTTGATGTATTTCATTTTTTCATGCTCTTTTTTCATCATTCTGATCCATCCTCAGCTGATGTTTCTGAAGAAATATCCCGACCAAGTCCTTTTCTGATGGTTCTATGTTTTAGGTTTTTGTGCGTCAGCAATGCATGCCAATAACCAGTCTGTTTGTAGCTGCATCAGATAGTCAGCACAATAACAAATACTTTCATCCTTCGGATTTCTTTTGGCTACCACTGCAGGTTTGGGGTTTAAGCGATTTCACAAAAATATCGTCAAATTTCACATTTTCTTCTTCTGCTCCACATCGGTCTTTACAATAGTTTTAATATTTGCCACTTGTCTTTATTAGCACTATCCAAGAAGGACTGATGTTAGCATTGACCGTTGCCGTATATTAGCGTGTGCTCAGGTACATACATGTCCAACCTGTTGGGTTCAGGAAATACTTTTCAGCAGTGAATTTTATCTTTGTACTCCTTAATAAAAATAATTCTACACAATCACAGGCCTTACCTTCACTTTTCACAACATATAAACATATTATGCACAAAAACATTACTTAATTCCACAAAGCTTATTATAATTGTGCACTGGGCTTTTTCTCAGACTTCACCTTGAAACACTCCAAGTATCAAATATTGCGATGTGATTATAGTTTGATGTAAATTACCATGTGACCATGTCATACCAGGTAAAGAAAGACAGATAAACTCTCCCACAGCTTTATGTTCCCTCACTCTCTCAGTCCCTCTCTGCATGTGTGTAACTACAAGAATCCAATGAAATATAAAGTATGTCTTTGCTCTTCATCTTCAACATGACATCTGGCCTGTCCTCAGATTCAAATTTAC